CAGGTCATGGTTGTCCCAAAAGTGGTGGTTTTTTTCCCCCAAAAGGCAAGCGGACATTGCTTTTTGCTTGAAGATGTTTCGCTTTTCATCCAAGAAGCTTCTTGGAAGCAAACGTCTTCAAGGAAAAAAAGAAAGTCCAGTTGCATTTTTGTGGGGGGAGCACTTTTTTGGGGGAGTTCTGTGCTGTTATACAGTCTAAATAATATTAGTTATTGGGAATGCACTTGGGAGGATGGGAGGAAATGTAGCACTCAGATTAGTATATGAAGATATGCAGCAAGTTCATTGTTTTGAGATACAAGGAAATAGATGCAAAATATAGGGGCTCAAAGCACTTGCCTGCCTTTCCTACAGAACATCTTTTCTCCAGAAGCAATCAACTAGACTGCAGATCCCAGCATCTCTTCTGGAGCATGAAGCTATTGCTATTGTTTTTTCAGTCAGACAGACTTGTTTGGACTAAGGATCCTATTACACTCAGTGGAAATTAATCTTCTGCTGAGGAGCTGAAAACACTTCTACATGTTCTCCTACTCTCCTAAATTGCATAAACCCTTTGGAACTAGCATAAAAGAGAGAGAAGGAGGAAGAGATGAAAGAGGTTTTTATAAGCCTTAATTATTCAGGGCATTCTTGTTCTAAATCTGCTGTGGCTCATGCATAAGTTTAGACATGCACAAGTTGATTGTTTTGTGCACTAACCTAAAAGCGAGGTAAGTGACATTTTGGCTCGTCTAGAAAAAATAAAAATAAAAAAGACAGCATTTTTTAAAATGCTATAGATAATTACATCATCACTATGAATGATATTACCTAGCATCATGTTTCATGGAGGATATTTTTTGATTTCATTCACAGCAGAACAGAAATATAAAATTCTTCACTTTTGCTGCCACTTCTATATGGAAACAGGCTGAATTCCAAGGCATGAAATGTCAGTTTTAGAAAGACATCCTCCCTACATAGTAAGGATCAGGGATGAAAAATGAAGGAATCACACAGAAAGCTCCTTAATGTCATTTTAATTGTATTACTGATTTACAGGTAGAAAGTAGTTCAACTATTTCAAAAGAGATTTTTTTCAGATGCCCCTAGATCTCAAATGAAACTACTTCTCTCTTTCCTAGCCTACAGAATCACATGGGTGTTATCTACTTTCTTCTATGTGATTCTTATCATTTCACTGATCTAGAAACAATCAGACTCTTCAAATATCACTGCGTGCTATGGGTACATGGGGAGTAGCCACGTCAGAAGCTCACCTTTTATATCCTTGCTTGAAAGTTTATCTCCAAGTAGCACAAGATATCATGTGGACCTGTGGCCAAAATAGCTTCGTACAAGGGGAGCATTTTCTTCTGACATGTTCAGAACTGCATAATCTATAATTCACTAGATGTTCTTTTAAAATATGATGGAATCTTTAGGGCAAGAGCCGAAATAAAGCAGCAGGGTTTGTGTGAAACAGGGAAAAAGAGAGAAATCTCCCACCCATCCTAGCAATTTTGCTGGGACACCCAGCTGATTAAAGCAGCGGTAAATTCACTTACCTTCACTACCGGTTCGGGTATGGGAGTGTGCGCGAGCACATGTGTGCTATGCATGCACACGCTTGATAACACACGCTGTGTGTTTTTACCACATAGATGGTAAAAAAATGGGACCTAATGATGTCCCAGCGGGTGGCTGGAGCCTCCCGCTGCTGGCGCTACCAGTTCAGCGAGCTGGATAGAACCGGGGGGGGGGATTTCACTGCTGGATTAAAGGTAGGATTTAATCTCTCCCTCTCTCTCAATCTCTCTCTCTCTTTCTCTCCCTCCCTCTCTCTGTTTCTCTCCCTCCCTCCCTCTCTCTGTTTATCTCTCTCTTTGTTTCTCTCTCTCTTTCCCTCCCTCTCTTTCTTTCCTTCTCTCCCCTCTCTTCCCCCCTCTCTTTCCCTCCCTCTCTCTTTCTCTCTCTGTTTTTCCCTCCCTGGTGGGGGGAAGGAACCCTTAAACTGGTGCTGGGTAGTGGGAATCTGATGTCCATAGGCCGATGAGCCCAGGAGCAGTGCGCTGAAGCTCAGCTAGCCAGCGGGGAGGCAGGGCATCCCAACACAGGCAGCTGTGCAGGAAAAGCAACTGACATCCGGTTGGCCAGAACGAGCCGAGATGACGCATGGTCACATTGTGGCTCCGCGTCGTAATGGGCTTCAGGAGGAAGGGACCCAGTCTCCCCCATTGTGAAGTGCGCGAGTGAAAAAGTTCACTCAATCAATTCCAACTTCATGAGATTTTTTTCTTTCATGAGAAGCTGGAATTGATTGAGTGAATTTTTTTTTTAGTCCTACAAACTTTTTTCCCCCTGCAAACAATGGTGAGAAACAGAGAAACGCAATGGAACTGAGCTGGGGCGATGGCACGTGTGCCATGGGTTCGCCATCATGGACCTATTGTTTAAGACAACACTAATTAGCAATTAAGATTTGACAGAGAGCTTGAGCGATTGTTTTAAATGCTTGGGTTTTTTATTTTAATTATGCATCACTGTTTTATAAATTGCCAAACAAAATACGGCCTTAAAAACAAATGTTTAAAAGGAGTAAACAATAAATTAATATACTTTGTTTTTCTGGAATGGGAGCCATTATTTCCATGATGAAAGAACTGATCGCAATTCACCTAGTATTGCTAGCATTTGAAAGTATTCAGAATTCAGTTTGGCACTGTCCTATTAAGGATGATATATAGATCACACCAGCTCATCTCTGCCATGAAGCATGGTCCTTTCAACCTTAATGAGCTGATGCTTGATGTGGTATGCATTGCTATATTTCAGATACAAGGAGTGACGGTTTTCTTAAATTAAACCATTTTACAGTTCCTTAAATATAGAAAGCTGGATGTATTCATATCTCTGAATATCCTAAATAATGAAAAAATTTATATATGCACAGCAAAGAGCTTTTAACTACTGTAGCAAGAATATAGCAATTTTGACTGCTGTGCAAATTTATCTTACAATAATTCAGAAATATTTGCCCTGTAGTTTTATTTCATTTGTTTGTTTGTGTGTGAGTGAGTGAGTGTTTATGTTAGTGCTGAATTGTGGCAGTTGACTAGTTCTGCAATTTTCTTAGCAAGATTTTTGGAGGTCTTTGCCCTTCCCTAATTCCTCGGGGAAAGAGAAAGTGACAGGCTGGAGGTCGCCCAGCTGGCTTTCATGCCTAAGGCAGAATTAGAACTCAAAGTCCCCTGGTCTCTAAGCCAGCACCTTCACCAGTTCACCAAACTGGCTCTCCTTCTTTCTCTAGTTACATGGAAATTCTGTTAACAATTTTGAAGAGAAAGATACCTGTCTCAAAATTAAAATAAGAGTATTTGGATTTTCGTCCCCATTGGCAATAGATTCCAACACATTTCTAAAAAGGGGAAATAGTCTTCTTTGCTCATGGTGATCTATAAAGGTGCCATTTATAATTAAATGAGAAGGACCTGAAAATCAAATGGAAAGTGTATTCCTATCGAAAATAGAATAGAACACTTAAAGGCCAAATACATTCCATCTCTACAGAATAAGATCAGTTATTTCAATCTAAAGGCAGACTGACAGAAATCTAATCATTTGGCCATAGCTGCAGTTTTGATCTGCTGATTATGTCAGTCCATTCATTTAAACTTGCCCAAATACATGTTATTTGCTTCAAATGTAGGATGGTTTCATGATATTTGTTATTTAATTGAAATAAATGGCATCATAATAACTTATTGGAAACATCCTGGCAATTATCTCAAGTTCAGAAAGCTAGAGATTATGGAAAATGTATCATGTCCCAGTTGAAAAAAAATCCTGGGAAATATCTGATGTTTAATTATGTTGAGAATATTTAATAAAAGCAAAATCTCATTATGGCCAAAGGATCAGCTTCTCTCTGTGTGTGTGTGTGTGTGTGTGTGTGTGTGTGTGTGTGTGTGTGTGAGAGAGAGAGAGAGAGAGAGAGAGAGAGAGAGAGAGAGAGAGGGAGGGAGGGAGGGAGAGAGGGAGGGAAGGAGGGAGGGAGGGAGGGAAGGACAGGGGGTAGAGAGAGAACATTTCCACAGTTGTACAGTAGTCCTAAATGTAATTTATTTGGAGTGCTTTGTACAGGTAGCCTTCAACTTACGACCACAATTGAGCCCCAAATTTCTGTTGCTAAGTGAGACAGTTCTTCAATGAGTTTTGCTCCATTTTACGACCTTTCTTGCCACAGTTGTGAAAGGAATCACTGCAGTTGTTAAATTAGTAACACAGTTGTTAAGTCCCCCATTGACTTAGCTTGTCAGAAGGTCGCAAAAGGTGATCACATTACCCCGGGATACTGCGACTGTCATAAATAGGAGTCAATTGCCAAGGGTCTCAATTTTGATCATGTGACTATGGGAATGCTGCAATAGTGTGAAAAACGGTCATAAATCACTTCTTTCAGTGCTGTTGTAACTTTGAATGGTCACTAAATGAACTGTTGTTAGACTACCTGTACTTTATTTATGAGTAAACACACATATGATCACATTGCAAAAGCTTAAGTCACACTTCATACAAGGAGACTTTATATCACCAAACATGCATGTGGTTAGAATGTTAACTTCCTTTGCAAATTATACTCTTTTTGTCCCAAGTTTGGACACTTTACCTTCTAGAATTGTCTTAATCTTCTCCCTGCCCTCTTCCTTGATGTTGATTGAACTTTTTTCAAAACCAGTTCAGCAACGCTCCAATTTTTTAAAAAACATTTTTTCTTCATTTTATAACTGAGATCAATAAAAGCTCTGCCTCTTGGTTGAGATTTGATTCCAATCATTTTACCCTCTCAGGTTCCCCCCCCCACTTTTTTTTAAAACAAAGAGATGGAACAACTGCTTAGGGTTTAAATGCTGCAGGTAAATCAGTCGAGAGATACCTGTACTTATACAACATAGGAGCCATTTACAATTTTGTCATTCAGCATCACTAATCTTATTATTAAAAAGATAAATAATTACCCATTGCGAAGAAAGGAATTCCCAACAGAGTCGAGTTATATTTTCCATCAGTAATGAAAAATATCCCTGCGGCAGTAACACTGGACATACAGATTGTGAGTACTCCCAAGAGCCCAAGAAATGGCTTGCTGCGAAGGCAATCTTTCATGGAGCTGGAGAGGATGGCCACCAACAGAACAAGCATGAGGCTCACTAAGATCTTGCCCTTGGCTAGGAAGCTGGTCTTGTGAAAGTCCCTCCACAAACTAAAGGAGGCCAGAGAATGCAATTGTAGATCCTTGTGATGGAGCTGCAGCTTGTGTATCAGTTTGCAGAATTCATTCTCCCACTTCTCACCAATGAGGTCCTGAGCTGCAGAATGGTAAGTCTGGAGGTAGTAAGTGATTTGGACAGCTCTGGCTGACTTGACCCTTTGGTCCTTGCTGTTCGGCAGTTCCATGACTCCACCAAGCTGATGGCCAATAAAGCTGCTTCTCCCATCCTGAGGAGAAAAACCAAGGGACATATATGTTAGAATGAAGCTTTTTCTTAAGGTACAAATAACAGCACTTCTGAATTTCTCCTACAAAGAGCTTTCTAGAAGCTATCCTGCTTTTCAGCAATGATCAAAATTATAAACAATTTAAATTAAAGTTTGAAGACCATAAAGACAAAGGAGAGGGGCCTTTGGGGGAGACGGAAACCTCAGGGAGGACCATGGTCAACTGGAGGAAATGCAAGGATGGCAAGACAGCCCAATTCAATCAGCAAAGTGTTGTGTATATTAATTTAATAACTACATGTTCTTGCAAACTAGCAGGGAGAACCAACAAAGCTATAACATTCACAAATTTTGCTGCCTCCTCCTTTTCTTTATAAAAATACTATATCAATAAGAAGGAGGGCAATAGACCAGCCTGACGAACAAATGAACAGCAGAAATGAAAGGATTTGAATTTGTTTTTACTTCCATTTATATTTTGGGTTATTTCACATCCAAACAGTGAATGAGAATGCATTTGTTTTGCTTTTCAATCACATTAAAAATTAATGTTAATTCCATAAGAACAAACAGATTTAAAGAAAAGTGCAAACAAAATTGGAATCAGTTATGATCCTTTATGCATGAGGCAACATTCACAATAGTTATTTCGTTAACAGAAATTATGGACAGAGCGCATGACCAATTACTATCAATCCATCAATAACCATTTGAAATCATAACAGAAAAAATTATACCCAAATTAAATATTTCTCACCTCATCAGGGAGATCTGTGGCATATAAATTTAATCAATAAATTGATCTGGAATGATTACCACTAGTCGTTCTATGGTCAAGTTCATTAGGTTATTATTGATTATGTCTTGACCTGAATGGTAATACAGTGAAATAATTCTTTTTATAACTCTAATAATCCCATGATTTACATATAGATCTTGAAGCAAAGCTTCAGTCCTACATGCAATTATTTGGAAGGAAGCCATATGGAATTCAATGGGACATACTTGTGTAGAATAGATAGTGGTTTCACTCCAAATGTGTGCATAGCCTTCTCTATTAAGATGAAGTTGCCACACTAAATCTCCTTTTTGTAATTGTACTTGGTCAAAGTTAAATAAGACATTCAAATATTGCTAAATCAGAGCTCTTATTTTCAGATTTGGAAAGTAATTGTAATGTGGAATGTCACTATGACAAACAGGTACAAAATATTACACTGTTGGCAAAACTACCAATTTAAATCAGAATAGTGAAATTTCCTAATTTATTCTCCAACAGGACTCAGGGCGGTGAACAGTCACGGTAAAAACACAACATATAAAATTTAAAAACAATTTAAAAAACATTAAATAATTTTGGCCATCAATTTAAAATAACCCAATTAAAACAAATTATAAATTTAAAACCGCAAGGATGGGGTCAAGCCAGCCTGGCTAGATGGAATAGATGTGTTTTCAGGGCCCGACGAAAAGTTCGGAGGTCTGGTATCGTGCGTATCTCTGGGGGTAGGTTGTTCCAGAGGGCAGGTGCCGCCACAGAGAAGGCTCTCCCCCTGGGGGTCGCCAGCTGACATTGTCTGGCCGACAGCACCCAGAGAAGGCCCTCTCTGTGTGAGCGAACTGGCCGGTGGGAGGCTATTGGCGGCAGAAGGCAGTCTTGTAAATACCCCGGCCCTAAGCCATGGAGCGCTTTAAAGGTGGTCACCAACACCTTGAAGCGCACCCGGAAGACCACAGGAAGCCAGTGCAGCTCACGCAGGAGAGGTGTCACATGGGAGTGCCCCGTCGCTCCCATAATCCCCCGCGCGGCCGCATTCTGTTCCAACTGGAGCCTCCAGGTGCACCCCAAGGGGAGCCCCATGTAGAGAGCATTGCAGTAGTCCAGGCGGGAAGTGACGAGTGCCTGAGTGACCATGCGTAGGGAGTCCCGATCTAGAAAGGGACGCAACTGGCGTATCAGGCGGACCTGATAAAAAGCCCCCCTGGCCATGGCAGTCATATGCTCTTCTAAAGACAGCCGTGTATCCAGGAGGACGCCCAAGTTGCGAGCCCTTTCCGTGGGGGCCAATGATTCGCCCCCAATAACCAGCGATGGCACCAGCTGGCTATATCGGGACGCCGGAAGCCACAGCCACTCGGTCTTGGAAGGGTTGAGTCGGAGCCTGTTTCTCCCCATCCAGGCCCGCACGGCCTCCAGGCACCGGGACATCACTTCAAGGGCATCGTTGGGGTGGCCTGGGGTGGAGATGTACAGCTGAGTGTCATCAGCGTACTGATGGAACTCCACCCCAAAGCCACGGATGATCTCACCCAGCGGCTTTACATAAATGTTGAACAGAAGGGGCGAGAGGACCGACCCTTGCGGCACCCCACAACAAGGCGCCTCGGGGTCGACCGCTGCCCCCCTGCCAACACAGATTGCAACCGGTCAGAGAGGTAGGAGGAGAACCACCGCAAAATGGTGCCCCCCATCCCCAACCCCTCCAACCGGTGCAACATGATACCATGGTCGATGGTATCAAAAGCCACTGAGAGATCTAACAGGACCAGGATAGAGGAGCATCCCCTATCCTGAGCCCTCCAGGGATCATCCACCAATGCAACCAATGCCGTTTCCGTGCTGTACCCAGGCCTGAAGCTGGACTGGAACGGATCTAGATAGACAGCTTCATCCAGGTACTGTGGAAGCTGCCGCGCCACCACACTCTCAACAACCTTCGCAATAGAACGAAGGTTGGAGACTGGATGATAGTTAGCCAAAACAGCCGGATCCAGAGAGGGCTTCTTGAGGAGGGGCCTCACCACCGCTTCTTTCAAGGCGGCCGGTAGGACACCCTCGCTCAAGGAAGCGTTAATAATCCTCTGGAGCCAGCCTCGTTTAGCCTCCCGGGAGGCCAGCACCAATCAGGAGGGACATGGGTCCAATAAACATGTGGTTGCATTCAGCCGTCCCAGAATCCTGTCCATGTCCTCGGGAGCCACAGGATCGAACTCCCCCCAGATAACACTCTCAAGACCTGCCTCAGTCATCTCATCTGGACTTACCCAGTCAGAGGCCAGGCCTTCCCGAATCTGAGCGATCTTGTCATGCAGATACTGCACAAAATCCTCAGCTCGACCCTGCAAGGGATCATCCCACGCTCCCAGATGGAGGAGGGAGCGGGTCACCCTAAACAGGGCAGCTGGGCGATTATCTGATGACGCAACAAGGGTGGCAAAATAGCTAGATTTTGCCGCTTTTATCACCACTAGGTAGGTCTTAATATGAGACCTCACCAGTGTTCAGTCGGATTTGGAACGGCTGGTCCTCCAACCACTCTCCAGGCGTCTTTTCCGGTGCTTCATCTCCCTCAGCTCCTTGGAGAACTAAGGAGCTAGGTGAGTTCGGTGCCAGGTCAGAGGCCGCAAAGGCACGACGCAGTCCAAAGCCCCAGTGGCCGCACTGTCCCAGCGGCCACCGGGTCTTCAGCCGAGTCATGAGCCAGAGTCTCAGGAAATGGCCCAAGCTCCATCTGGAACCTATCAGGATCCATCAGGCGCCTGGGGTGGAACCACTTAGTTGGTCCCGCCTCCCTGCGGCGGGGTGTAGCGGTTAGAAAGTCAAGTCGAAGGAGCGAGTGGTCAGACCATGACAAGGGTTCGATGACTATATCCTCTATATCAAGGCCACTCAACCACTGACCAGAGATAAAAACTAAGTCCAGAGTGTGCCCGCCCGTGTGAGTAGGGCCCTGAATTAACTGAGTCAGGTCCATGGCCGTCATGGAAGCCATGAACTCCCGAGCCACCTCAGATGTTTCACCGATGGATGGCAGGTTGAAATCCCCCATGACCAAAAGTCTGGGGGTATCAACCGCCACCTCGGCTATGACGTTAAGCAGCTCAGGCAGGGTCGTTGCCACATGCCAAATTCCTAATTTAAGGAATTCATATCTTTTTAAAACCAAACTAATTAAACTATTTTTCTAATATAATATAATATAACTCACAGAGAAGTCATGCACAGTGTTGACTTTTGGATTTTTTTAAGAATACAAAACAATGCAACAACCTTCTTTGAGAACTACTTTACTGAGTTACATTATGCTTTATCTGTTCCACCATACTGTTTATAACAATAGGCAAGTACCATTAGTATCTGTGACTCTACAAGGCATGAAACTATCATTTGATTCTGCTGCCATTCTCCTGTATTTGGATAGGCAAGTTGTCAGCCCTTCAAGGCAGCCAACAGAAAAGTTGGAGGGGAGAGGCAACTGTTCCTCACAAAACTTTCATGCATATAGTTGTTCACACAGAGAAATCCATGGAGATACTGCCAAATACAGTATTGCAATTATTAGCCATTTATCTCAGATACTTTTTGGAAAACATAAACTTGGCCTCATACTTAAGTAGAAACCCTATGCCTGAAAAGTTAGTCAACAACTTCTTTTTGCACAATTACATGGTATTTATAGGAAGGAACATATAAATTCATTTTTGGATTCACTTCCAGTTCCTGTGGATTGGTCAACATATGACTCATGTGTGATCCTTTCAACTATGAAAGGAAGCTGAAGTTTTAGATAGACAATATACACTCATTCCGTTCACGATCCTGTCATTCAATCTATCCCTTCCAAACACTAATGTAATATGTTAATACTACAATAGTGAGAACTACCTTCTTTTCCTAGTAGATGCTGAGTATCCAAGGAATGCAAAAAATATAGATTGTAAATCACATGTCTATCAGTAAGTCAGCCTGCTTGCTCGTCTGCCTTTGTTTCACACAACTGTTGACTGGATATTTTCATAACAGCTAATACGCCACTGATTGTTTAGCTGTAAATTGATAACAAATAGCAATTGTATCATTATATAATCTCATGTCAATTCTAAAATAATCCAGGAAGGGTTATACTGCATTCAGTAATGAAACAAGAAGAAACAATTCATGATAGCACTGATAATATCCGTTAATCACTTTAAAGTGTGATATTTGTTAGAAATTAATT